CTGCAGTTCAGTTTGCATTTTGCATCATTAGACAGTACCAGTTTTGAGCAGAAAATCTTCTCTGTCAGCACCCGAAGTAGTATAAAGATGATGATTTGGGGTTTTTTGTTTGTTTGTTTGTTGAGCTTTTTTTAAGATATTTGTTTAAAGGGTGATTCTTTCCTCTAGTGTTGAGCGCACAGCCCGCATATTCTGTTGTAATGAAACTGAGAGTCCTGGTACAAAGGTATTTCATTTAAGCATACTTAAAGCTTATTTAAGCTCTACTTTCCTTAAGTAAGAATCTAGCGAACCTGGGCTATGAATGTGTTACCACCAACACTGATCTGAGTTCTAGAGGATTCCTCTTCATTTAGGGCAGTTTATGACCATCTTCTGAAATAGGTTGCATGTGTTTGTGGGAGGGAGGGAAGTTCCTTCAGCTAATTGCTATGATAGCACACAATTTTAGAAAGATCAAACAGATTTTGGATCTACCAGTGGCCGTTTTTCCACCTGTGGGGAGCTTTGGTGGGATGTCACCAAGAGTCTGCTGGCTGCAGGTGGCAAGCAGAAGTGTCCACTGAGAGATTTGCGGACCTCGTTGTTCAACGAATAAGTCCCTCTTGAATAACAGATTATGCATTCAAGAATTGGAAATGCTCACTCCTTAAGCTGTGGATTCCTCCTCACCTTTGACAAACTTCAGTTGCCATACATAACCTTTGTTAGTAATATTTAATTGGTGCTTAATGTAACTTTAATAATACAGTTGTTTCATATGTAATTTCCCTGTTTATGCAAAAGGAATGTAAGTGATTGAGACAGCTTATTGCCAATTCTTGCTACTAACGGCAAAAATATCTTAATTTAAATGATATCATGTTAGTTGATTCTGGGTTCCTCACATGGGGTTATTTTGTCGAAATCCACGGACTGGAAAGGAATCAATATGGGGCTTTTGAAACTGGTGGAGGCTTGCAGTGCTCCCACTACGATTGATTACAGCTGCTTTTGTAGGGCTTTAAAAAGAACAATCTGTATTAAAAACATCATTCTTTGGTATGAGCTCGAACAGCTCCAAATAGGTTTCCATGGGGGCTGCCCTGCAATTTGGCCACTTCAAGGGATTGCAGTAATCACCAGTGGGCCAGGGCAGCGAGGCAGAGGAAAGGCTATTAGGTGGGGAGTTATTGGCATGCACGCCAAAGAGGTTACCCTGGCAGCTTTAATCATTCATCCACAATCTCAAGAGGAGGGAGGAAAATATAAGTGTTAGTTCTTCTGATTGATTAGGAAAAAGGATCAGTAAAGCATGAAAGGAGAGGGGAGGTGTGCGTGGAAGAGCCAGTGTGCGTTAGATTTAAAAGCACTGACTGGGGCAGGTACGTGTGGTTATGACCTCTGTACCAAAAGCTACCTGCTTCTCCCGTCACTGTCAGACTTGTGACTGGTGGTTCAAAGACAGGCTAACCTCTTCATTCAGCATTTTCAAAGGAGCGCATTTAGCTCCTCGGTCACGGCTGTGCCTTAAATTTAACCTGTCTGCACATGGGCTGATGTGTCCTTAAAAAAACTGATCAGCATTTTGAGCTGTGACAATGATTTGCATGGTGGTTTTGATCCTATTTTTGGTGAAACCAATGAGTGCTTTTTGGAAAACCTGCAGAAAATTGCTATGCTAATTGAGATAAATCAATCCGTGATGCACATTGCTGGCTGCTGGCTTCTGATGGTGTTTCGCCTGCACATTGCCCTTTAATATTTCAGTCTGGAGTAGTGCTTCGGAAGCTGATTCAGCTGTAGCCCTTCTAAAATAGTTTCCCTGTTGTATCGTGCCTATGTCAAAGGCAGAGTTGAAGAATAAACTGTTCTTCGCACCGATCGATGGCTTGGCATGAAAGCTGAAAGGGCTTTGAATCTTTTAATTTTGGGATTCCTGGAGAAACTTTGGTATTAAACTTCTGCTTTTATGTGGGAAACAAGAATTGCTGTGTACTGTACCTTGACTGTTAAGCAGTCTTGAGGTTTCCAAGGTAAAGGAGACAACTAAACTGCAGTGTTCAATTGTGGGCTTCACATACAAGGAAAGACCTGTTGGTGCGAAGTCAGAGAATGTGATATAATGTCAAACCAGGGGGTTCACGTAAACAGCACAGCAGTACTGTTTGCTTGGGTTGGCATATCAAATTTGCCCTACCCCTCTATCATTCCTAAGTAACCGTTTTTAAGTTGGAGTAAGTTTATGTGGTCGTTCGATTAGGAAGGTCCCTTGGTCCTAACCTGTAGTCTGTGTGGAGGTGATGTGACCATGCAGCTCGCCGGCTGTAGGTCTGGAGAAAGACCAAATGGGGTCTGGAGAAGGACCAATCCTCTCGAGCATGGGCTTTCAGCATGAACTGCTGTAGAACCACAGGAAACTTTCATTGCTGGAGAAAGAAAATAAAATGCTGCAGTTTCATATCCTGTGATCCAGGTAGCTTTTACTTGCTGAGTTGTGAGATGAGGCTGTGGGACTTCTGAGGAGACTCTGCCCAGGTGAAGAACTGCTCTTCACTGGGGTGTGGCAGTGGCAGAGATCCACAGAGGTAAAGGTTTGTTGTTCCAGAAAATTCTCCATAACTGGATGAAGATGTAGGTATCTTGTGCAGGGTAGATGAGGAAGGCACCTTTTGTAGGGGCAGACCCAACTACAGTCTCACTCAGCTAGCAGTCCTGTAATACTACTTCACGTGGGCTTGAGCCTAGTTGGATAGCCTGGGAGGGCTGTTGGGTAACTGATGAGGGTCTCTTTTTGTTCATTTACTAAATATCTCTTGTAGCTGGAGAGCATGGAGCAAGTTTAATCTGTTCTTCATCACAAATTGTGCCGTTGGTACTCATGCATAAGGATAGAAAGCTCTGCCTGATCTTGCTGCCACGCTTGTTCACCTCCCTTCTGCATCTTCATACAGCAACCTCCGTCCCACCATGGGCAACACAGTTTCTGGATAAGGGATTAGATTAATTGACTTAAGTTTGGTCTCTGTGTGCATCTAGTAGATAAATGATGCACAACTGGAAATCAGACTCTGAAAAGAATTGGAAAGATGGAAGCTTTTTCTATTGGAATGTACCTCGAAGAGGCCAGAACTTTAGAGGACGTTTATCTTTCTCCTCAAGGCAGGACAAGCTGCAGCTCCAAAGCTGTAAGCAGGCCAAAGACCCACTACACGGATCTGTGAGCCTTAATAATGGGAAGAAAAACATTTTCAATTAAGCTTGAACAAGTTCTCCTGTTATCGTTTTAAGTTCTGTTATCACATAATGTACCATACGGCATGTAATTACACATTAGGGAATATTTCTAAAGGCACAGATGACTGTTAGAAAACAGACACATGAGTTTCTATGACTTCGTGAAGAGTGTGAACTTAAATCTATCAGCTGCAGCACAGTAATTCCTTTGGTGCATGGCCATAAGTGAACAGTGGCTGACGTGGTGGTGGCTTGTTGGCGTCTCCTTACCCCGTGGGGCTCTTTGCCTTGGAGTGTTTCCCTGTGAGCTCTGTGGATGCAGTGTATTTTCTTTAGTGAGAGCCGTGACATAGACTGCTGAAATGCCTGACACTGGCAAGAGTTGTTTTATTAATGCTGTCCCTGTCAAATATGCCTCTGTTTTGGTAATTAGTCTGGCGTAACAGACTGTGCGCATCTTAAAAGCCAGCATATTTTGACTCTTGGCTCTGACATGAGGCAATCTCTGTAAATCAGCTCTTTTGGTAGACTCCTCTATTGTTGAATGCTAGTGGTAGTAGAAGCCGTTTGCAGTACTTGTGTTTATTTTGGGCTCTCCGCCTTTCGTCGGCAGCCACGAGCGGTCAAACCCTTTCTTTATCTGTCGTGAGAGATTGGAGGCCTAAAGCTATAGTTTTGTGCAGCATCAGGAAGTTCTTCTGCATGAGGTACAAGAAGCGTGAATAATCTTTCTGGCATGTGCTCCAGCCGCAGTAGCGGCTCTGTGCTGCACCAGACAGGGTCTCAGCCTGCCATGCTGCTGCCGGCACCGGCGCCGTCCCCACGGGCAAACACCCAACTTGCAACACTAGTAGGGACACTCGTACAAAGCTGATTCGCTCTTCCACCCTTACCTGAAGAAGGGGAGCAAATGTCCTCTAAGATTTTAAAAATACCTTTGGAAATGGGCTCTCCAGAATGAGTCACAGCAATCAAAGCTTGTTATTTAATTGGCCAAAGCCAGCGGTGGGGGAGGCAGTGGCTTTTGCAAATTCGGTCCAGGCAGTTCCCATCGCGAGGCTGGTTTTCACATTGGGCACGTGGATGAGCGGGAGGACTGGCACGGAAAGGCAGCAGCCTTGAGGAGTGCTTGGAGCGTTTTAAGCCGTTCCGAGGTAAAACTGGGAGATGGTAACCGTGTCAAACTGATTTGGGGGAAATGAGTAATGCAGATGCTGGCTTCTGTATGAAACCCTTGCTCTCAAACTTGCAAAATTCAGTCTGGGGCCTGTTGTTATGGAAAGAATATTTTTGCTGTGATCACAGTTACCCAGACCGTGGTGTAGGGCAGCTTTCCTGCGGCCAGTATCCACTCCACTAACATCACCATTGTGCAGGCAGTACGGTTTCTCCAAGGAAGAAAATGGGGGGTCCTTAGAGTGTTGTGCTTCCATTACATCACTAATTATTAGACTCTTATTTCTCAAAAAATCCCACAACTGCCCACCACCATGCCTCCCACTGCCGCTTCTGCCGAAGGCCCCACCGCAGTTGGCACAGTGCAATGAAGTGGGGTTTGCTGGGAAGAGTTTGGCCTGCGAGTCTTTAAAAGTGGCCGCCACCACCTTGAAATAGTGGGGACTACTTGTTCCTTCCCTTTTCTTCTGTGCCCAGCTGTAGGACATACCAGTGAAAGGAAAGGCAGGCATCTGTAATAAGACAATTAGTGGTAGACATGCCTTGTAACATAAAATCCTACTTCAAAATTACGTGTTTGTAGCAGGGTACACGCGGGCAGCGTAGGGATGCGCAGGCTGAAGGAGGTCGATGTGCACTGCCAGAGCCGGCAGATGCTCACCTCTGGGAACCCAGTAACACAATGGGAAATGGAAGGTGGATGCTCTTCTGGTTAGCACATTTCTCTGGGAAAACCTAGTGCTTTGAGGTGTAAATCTGATTTTCAAGCTTTGCGCTTTATAGGGGTTTTTTTGTCTAAACTCATGACTCTCATTCCTGGATGAGGTTAACGAGGTTTTAAGGGGACAGTGTCACTAGTGAAATAGCTTTCCTGGTGTGAAGAGGGAAGGCAAAGAAATAGCGAACAATGATAGCAAGACGCCTGCTGGCTTTGGAGTCGGCAATGCTGAGGTCCATGAGGACTAACTCCTGTTGGGTGGCAGGTCATAGTTCCTTTTGCAGGAAGCCCGGGGGAAATAGAGCTTCTCCTTCACACAACTGCCTTTTCTCCTGCCTTCATGTGGGAGTCTCCACGATGGCCCTCAGTCTTTAGATGAATGCATTCAGGTAGTTAGCTTTCCAAAAATGAAGTGTGTATGAAGAATACATCACTTCAGTGAACTCAGACTCACCAGCTGAACATGCTTTTATGCAAGCACTAATAGAACAGCACTATCTGTTAACAGAGGAGGAGAATCTGTTTTCTTTCTCCTTCTTACGTATAAGATCTCCACCTAATCAACAGCTGTAATGCTTGCAAATTTTCAGAGCCTTCTGGCTTAGATATTTGGGATATAACATCACTTTTAAAATATTAGTTTCTGGTTCTGTGCATACTAAACGGGTTACATCTAAAAGACTTCCATCTGGGGAAAAAGGGAGGCAATGTACCATTAATAACCCAGCTGCAAACCTCAAATTCTCTATCCCATATATATACCCAAAAAGGCAGTGAACAGAAATTTGAGTGCATCTGTAAGTAATAAAATGTTTCCTTCCATATGTCAGTTACTCATC